GATGGCGATGGCGATGGTGATGGTGGTGATGGCAATCATGAGGGTGATGGTGATGATGATGGTGATGATGGTGATAATGATGACGATGGTGATGATGATGATGTTGATGTTGATGTTGATAATGATGATGGTGATTATACTGGTGATGGCGGTGATGACAAAACTGGTGATTACTGCCTATGACCATAATTTCTACAGTGATGACGATGAGGAAGAGATAATGATGATCATCATGATGATGGTGTTACAGATGATACAGTGATACATGGGAGTTTCCGAAAATTAGGGTACCTTATTTTGGGGTCCATATAATAAGGGTCCTATTATTTAGGGTACTATATTAGGGTCCCCTATTTTCAGAAACCCCCGCATATTACGATGAACATGGGGATCGGCACGCAAATCACAGCTCATGCTGAGGCTGATAGCTAGTCTGAGCATGATGATGCTGACGAGAATGATGATATGGGTAGTTCTCTCAATTAGGGTCCCAATATAGTACGGCACCCTTATAATCAGGACCCTAAAAGGGACCCTAATGTAGACTACTACCCATATGCTGATATGCTACCGTGTACGGATCGGGGCATGGGACACTCAGGCATCCTTATGTTTTGACTGAGCTTGCATGTGGGAGTGCTGACCCTTAAATGACATCCTGAGCCCGCAACCTGAAGTCTCAAACCCTTCAAAGCTCTCTCGGCAATATTGTGGCCTGAAAAGGTAGCACAGGTAAATGGGGCGCATCTACATCACTAACTAGTGTTCTTGAAGTAGACATGTCAAGAACTGTAAGGGAATACTGTTGCGCTCTTAGCCTTAGCAGAGTTGCAGTATGTAGACTGTTGCCTGCACGGCGCTGTTCCAGGAAGTGGAACTGTAAGGACTCCCCGGGTACCTGGGGGGAGCAAATGGACAAGTACACCAAGCACCACGGCAGACGTGAGAATTCCGGGTTTGCACTTTCGGGATCTTTCGGGCAGGAATCCAGTTGCTTGGCTCCTACCTGGACGCCCCAAAGTATGTAGAACATGAGCTTGTATAGGTGTTGGGACCAGTATTTTACCTACCTTTGACGTTTGGGTGTTCCTTAACCTGACACTCAGGGCTCGTTTGTGTTGCAAGGTTAACTCATTTATGGGTTGGAGATCCCCGGCCTCTTTCCTAAACCCCAGAATCAGTGACGGTCTATCTAATTCAGGGGTCTTCATCACTACCTAGATTATTTTGGGGGTTCCCTAGTATTTTTATAGTATGATATACCCCACTATCTTGCTTGAACGAAGTTGCCCAACCAGAATCCGGCAACGCAGAAAGAAACCCTTCCCCGAGACTCTAACGCCGGTCACAGTCCCAGGGCCTCGAGAAGCCTAGCCGTAGATCTTACGATCTAAGACCCAATGCTAAAACTCAAATCCGAAATGCCAAGTCTCAAGTCCTAACCCTAAAACCCTAAACCGTGGCACAACCCGAATTACTCAAACCTAAACCCTAAACCCTAAACCCTAAACCCAAAACCCTAAACCGGACCCTTTGTTTCAATCCCGTGGATCTTCGACCCCCAGTCCTGTGGCCCATCCAAAACCCCTCAAACCTCTACCCCGCATCAGGGTTTAGGGTTTAGGGTTTAGGGTTTAGGGTTTAGGGTTTAGGGCTTAGGGGATTCGGGTTTAGTAATTTAGGGTTTAGGGTTTAGGGTTCAGGGATTACCTGTAGTCTCCATTGTAGTGTTTTTTGGCTTAACCAAATATATGTTATGGAGTTTGTAAGGTATCACCAAAGGGGGACTACAATGGAGACTATAGGTATGTTCTCCGACGCGTAGATGCAACTGCCGGAACGATGCGTAAAGGCTGTATAAGGGTTTATAAGAGGTTTTGGGTATAGGGTAAACTCGAAAAAGGAAAATACATATCATACCTGCTCGGGACCCGGGATGTGTGTGCTCTGACCACTTCGTCTCTTCCGATTGTCTTTGTGTAAGCTATGCGCGAATAGTCGTTGCAGTCATCGGATTGACATCAGCAGCTAAACCCTAAACCCTAAACCCTAAACCCATGGGTCTTATTGTCATCATGAGCATCATAGTCAGAACCGGCGGAACTGCTTCACGAAGATGGCTGTGATTCTCATGGGTTTAAGTAAGTCAAAGCAAGACGGTTATCGTTTCGACTAAAAACCAGTGTGGCTGCTAAGTATGACATGTTTTGTTTGCCTGTAGCTGCCCATCAAATGCTGCCAGGAGGCATCCTGAGAAGTTTGGTGGCAAAGACCAGGACCGGTTTCTTGCAAAAAGGATCAGGGTTTCGGGTTTAGGGGTTCGAAAGGCCCTAAACCCTGAACCCTAAACTTCCTAAGCCCGAAACCCTAAAGCCCTTTTGAGCCCTACACCCGCCACTCGGCTTATTCATGCAGGGTCGGGCACCGGCGTTTAGGAGACCTGGGTCCCCGATTTGGCTTTCAGGGAGAGATGCAAGGCCTCAATGGATCGGTCGGTGTTTAGGGCTTTGGGGTTTAGGGTTTTGGGTCCAGGGTGTAGGGTTTTGGTGGTGATGATGGTGGTGATGGTGGTGACGATGATGATGGTGGTAGTGGTGGTGGTGAGGATGACGACGATACATGTGATTTTTGATTAGTGTAATGATGAGAATGACGACCACGATGATGATAACGCTGATGACGACGATGACGCTCGCGGCGAGGTTGATGATCATAGTGACTGGTAGTGGCGACGGCGATGATAATGATGGTGCTGTTGAAGACTACGTGTTCTTCATACTGTTGCATGGTCTTCATGGTAAACGTGCGGATGCTTCTCTAGCAAAATTGCAAGATTGCTAGACCATTGGTGCTCCTCCTAGTTGTCCCCTTTGCCAGTGCTTTCGCTTTGGTGAGAAGCTGCGTGCTTTCCGGAAGCAAGGTGTTGGGAAGCCAGGTTGGGTGGGCCCGTTCTTGTTTTAAAAGGTCGTTGTTACTAGTAATCCTAGACCCCTACACCCTAAACCCGAAACCCCTACACCCTGCACCCTAAACCCCTACACCCTAAACCCTCAAACCCTAAATCCCTAAAGTAAACCGTTTAGGCTTGAGATTTTGGGTTTAGGGTTTGGGGTCTCGCGGCGGGTCCAACCATGCTATCTTCGTGTGCACCGTCTAGGGTAATGAAAGCTTGCGCCCCCCATACTCCGGGTTTAGAGCTTACTTGGAGGGTCGAGGGACGTAGTAAATGGTTATTTTATAGACTTATAAGTACTATAACCCCAATTAGGGTCCCTTTTAGGGTACTTAAAGTCTACTTATCACCTACTTACTAAGTCTCCCGACCCTCCAAGTAGAGCTTAGGCTTTAGAGCTTCGAGTCAGGGCCTAGGTTTCAGAGCTAGAGCTTACCTATAGTCTCCATTGCAGTTCCTTTTTTTGGTTAATCCAATTTTATATTTAGGATCCTATATGGCAACCGCAAAAAGGAACTACAATGGAGACTATAGGTAGGTTTTAGGGTTTAGGGTGTCTAGAACCTCGATGAGTGACTCAAGCAAACTCTTGAACCGGCGGCCTCTTCAAACAGAATCTGCACAAGACTAAAAGACTTGGTAGCTGAGCAGGTAGTCTAAATTTTGGGGTTTTGGGTTTGGGGTTTCGGGTTTGGTTTTAGGGTTTAGGGGTTTAGGGTTTAGGGGTTCATCTGCTCCTAGCAACCATTATCCCTTCGGGTCGGGGAACTCCGGCAATTGGGAAGAAACCGGCAGAATAAGCCGTAAGCCCTGTTTAACTTAGACGTAGGAAACAGAGCCTTTAGGGTTTAGGGTTTAGGGTTTACGGTTTAGGGTTTCGCGTCAATAGAAAACCCCTAAACCCTAAACCCTACACAGATTTTCAATAGTTTTTCGAAGACGCAGCAGGCTCGCGACGCACGCTTCGGTATCAGCTGGCAGGCTTCTGAGGCCTCGGGTGATCGTTGCATCAGGGGTTTGGGTTTAGGGTTTCTCTAGAAGGGTTTTATGAGGCTATAGAGGGCTACAGGGTTCTTTTTCTATAGGCTTAATGAGGCTATAGAGGGCTACAGGGTTCTTTTTCTATAGGCTTAATGAGGCTATAGAAGGCTACAGGGTTCTTTTTCAAAAGGGCTTTATTTTGTATACCTGGGCTTTATAAGGCTGCAGCGTTCTCGATATTGCTTGATAGGGGCCTAATGGGCTTTGTAAGGATTGCACAAGGCCCTTACGGTGTTTTCAGGGTAGTTTCCGCAAACCCTAAACTCCAAACCCCAAGCCCTACACCCTGAACCCTAAACCCTAAACTAAACCCCAAACCCCTAAACCCTAAACCCCAAACCCTAAACCCTGAACCCTGAACCCTAAACCCTAAACCCCGAAGCCCCTAAACCCTCAAACCCTAAGCCCCCAAACCCTCAAACCCTAAATCCCTAAACCCCTAAACCCGTAAACCCTCAAACCCTAAACCCCAAACCCTCAAACCCCAAACCCTAAGCTAAACCCTAAACCCTCAAACCCCAAACCCTCAACCCCCAAACCCTAAGCTAAACCCTAAACCCTCAAACCCCAAACCCTAAACCCCCAAACCCCTAAACCCCTAAACCCTCAAATCTTGAACCCCTAAACCCTAAACCCTCAAACCCCAAACCCTAAGCTAAACCCTAAACCCTCAAACCCCAAACCCTAAACCCCTAAACCCCTAAGCCCCTAAAGCCCCAACCTGGCAGTGCCCTTTTGAAGACATCCGGGTTGGTCCTCTTGTCGGGTTCAAGATGACAAACGCAGAGGGTCTCGGAAACATGCCAGATTCTTGTGACGAGATCCTAACCTCGTAGGGTTTAAGCTTATAGGGTTTAGGGTTTAGGGGTATAGGGTTTAGGGCTTAGGGTTTAGGTTTAGGGGTTTAGGGATTAGGGTTTAGGGGTTTAGACTTTAATTTAGAGTTTAGGGCTTAAAGGGCTTAGGGTTTACCTAGAGTCTCCATCGTAGTTCCTTTTTTTGGCTTAACCAGGATCCTATCAGGAAGCCCCACAGAGGAGCTAGAATGGAGACTACAAGTAAATCCTGACCCCTAGTACAGTGTGGCGTATAGACCATAGTATAGATGCATAAAAACCCAAAGCCCTAAAGCCTAAACCCTGGTTTAGGATTTAGGGCCTCGGTCCGGGATTTAGGGTTTAAGGGTTCAGGGTTTAGGGTTTAGGGTTTGGTGCAAGGCCTTGTGTTGGTTTCCTGGAGAAAGCTGTAACTAGCGAGCGAAGAAGACTGCGTCGCCAACTGAGTTGTCTTCAGCCTATGTGTGGGGGGCTATGCCTATAGTAATAGATCTATTGTTTAAGAGCTGCGCCCCTAAACCCTAAACCCCCCTGAACCCTTTGGGCCCCTTGTTGCTGCTTCTCTCGGATTCTGGCGGATGGGGCAGTGAATTCATGTAGTTCACGTTGTCGAGGATTCCGGAGAGTCCTTCGTAACTCTCGAGTCACCAATATTTTTAAACCTTATAGTACCCTGCAAGAATGTGTAAACGAACCTTAAAAAGACACCTATCCTCGGTCAGTATCATGAACTCGCCTGCTCTTGCTCGCCACTTAACCGATGCTGAACCCAAAAAACCCTAAACCCTAAACCCTAAAAACCCTAAACCCAAAAAACCCTAAACCCTAAACAACCGCAATCCCGAGACACTCCGCGCAGCAGCTCTAAGCCTAAGTGAACGCTAAACCACAAGCCTCAGCCGCTGTACTTCCCCCCCCCCCCCACACACAGAGCAAAAATAACCCACCTTAAACCCTAAACCCATACCCCAAAACAAACACACCCTCCTAGCCTGGAACCCCCTAAACCCCTCTCATCGTCAAGCCTTTTCTGGGCCCCCGGCCTCCCCGGTAAGCCCAAAAGCCTAGGCTTTAGGGTTTAGGGCTTAGGGCTGAGGGTTTAGGATTTAGGATGTAGGAATTTGGGTTTAGGGTTTAGGGTTTAGGGTTTAGGGCTTAGGGCTTAGGGCTTAGGGTTTAGGATTTAGGGTTTAGGGTTTAGGGTTAGCCTCCACAAACCGTACCTCTTGGGCGAAGGTTGGCTTAAAGTTCGTCTTCAACCAGCCGATGAGCCTCTTGCCATGGGGTCTTCGGTTTTTTTCAGGTTGAAGGTTTTGGGTTGAGGGTTCAGGGTTTAGGGTATTGGGTTTAGGGGTTTAGGGTTCAGGTTTACATGCCGGTTTGGGGTTCTACAAGTCTTTGGAGGTATTGGCTTCTGTCAGTAATGAGGGTTCAGGGTTTATGGTTTCTGTGGTTCAGGGTTTAGGGCTCGGGCGTGTAGGGTTTACGGTGTAGAAGTCCCCTGGATTTCGTGCAACATTTGGGTGGTTGTCAAAATTATGGTTCTTCTTTTGGTGCTTATTGTATAATACAGCACCTATTATTTAGGGTACCCCACAAGGGACCATAATTTTGACAACTACCCATTTGTGGATCGTATCACAACCCTAAACTTTCGAATCTTCGCCGAGCCCAAATATAGTACCCAAAGTATAGGAGCCCCTTTTCATGACAGGAGCCATGACATTCAGGCCCTAAACCCCCTAGATTGAAGGGGTTTAGGGTTTAGGGCTTTAGGGTTTTAGGGTTTAGAGTTTTAGGGTTGAGGGTTTAGGGTTTAGGGTTGAGGGCTTGTCTATAGGGTTTAGGGTTTACGGCTTTAGGGGTCTATAGGGTTTAGGGCTTTAGGGGTTTGGGGTTTAGGGTTCAGGGGTGTGATGGTGATGATGACGACGATGGTTATTGTTATTGTAGCTGAGGCAACTCCATGGATGCCCTCCGGCTTCTGATGAAGGTTCGCCGGTGCTTTTTGTTGGTGCCATTTGGGGGCTGAGGGTTAATATAGAAGCCTCAGCAATTACCTTCATTATTCCTTAGTGTTCCCTTTCAAAACATACCGTAAATAAGCCCAAAACCCTATTCTAATTATTAAGGCCCCTACATTACCGGTTATTGCTTGGGCCCTTGGTAGCTCGGGGGTGGAGTCTGTGGCTGACACCCCTAAGTCCTGGGGCTGCTACTTCATGTTCAGCTGAGATTGGAGATTCAGAACCCTAACCCTTCGGGTTTAGGGTTTAGGGTAACCAAAAAAACCATGAACCCTGAACCCTACCCTAAACCCTAAACCCTAAACCCTAAACCCTAAACTCTAAACACCATAAACTCGAAGAGCCTGGCCTGGGTCTTATCGAGCTCGTGCCAGGGCCCAGCCAGGAAACACAGTCACAGAGGCTTGGGACGCTAGTGCTTAAGGGTTTAGGGTTTAGGGTTTAGGGTTTAGGGTTTTAGGTTTAAGGGTTGGGGGACATCTAAGGTGTTTCAGTGATCCTTCCTATAGCCCTAAGGGTCCAAGTACCTAATAATCATATACTCTTCTGAATACGAACCTACAAAACCACTACCCGTAACCCAAGTACAGGATTATTAGGTCCTTTGGACTCTTAGGGTAGGAGCCCGTTTAATCCAGGTACAAGATTTCTTTGGAGCCGTTGGAGAAACACTTTTTCAGACGGTGAGTTCCAAGACAAAGCCGAGATCTGCGTTTGAGCCGAAAGTACGAAGCCTTTGTTGGAGCCCAAGGAAACCTCAGAAGAGAATCGAACTTATCAGAATGATGGGGAACGGGGTCCAACTTACGTAAGTCAGGTTAAAGTCATGCACGTGGAGACACCTAACTCACCTATGCCCTGAATCCAACAAGCATACTCAGCGTCCTGAATCTGACATGGCGAGGTGCAGCGAGAGTGTAGCCCGGAGATCAGGGAGCAGTTCTTTGAGATTCTCTCCCGCAGCATGGCTTCCTTCATGTTTAGATTCGGATTCCTTTATTAAATGTTCTATCACAACAACAGGGATCTTTAGGGCAAGAGCATGAGGAGGGTAGTATGGGGGATTTATTATACGACTTGCCGCTGAATGTCGGTGGTTCTGGGGCTAAAGGGAAAGGGCAGTTGCGCCATACTTAGACAAGTGCCACCGGCGCGGTGACTGCCACCGCGACTACGAAGTTGGGGCAGGTTGATGGCAGTTTCATACCCAAAGGGTCCAAGTTATAGTATAGTATATACTTTGGGGGTCCAAATACCTACAAGGTAGCTACCATATTAGTACTTGGACCCTTTGGGAAAGTGATGTCTGACCTTCCGAATGCTGCAACTCGTTTGTGGAGACAGATGCGGTGAAGCGCAAAGCCGAAGAAGGCTTTGGAGAATACTGGTGGGAGGTCTTTGAAAAGGGTCCAAGTTATAGTATAGTATATACTTTGGGGGGTCCAAATACCTACAAAGTAGCTACCATATTAGTACTTGGACCCTTTGGGTTTTGACAAGGACATTTGTTTGACCAGTGTCTTCTGTTTTGCCATTTGCATCTGGCTCGGCTCGCTCCTCCACTGTCTTTCCCCATCCGGCTCCACTTCACTTATCCGGTCGCGTGCCTCCACTTTTCCACCCTGGCCGGGGCGATGTATCACACCCTGTATGGTAAGGTGCAACGGTATACATGGTGCACGTCGAGCAGCAAGTGTGCGGTGTGCATGGTGCGATCATTTTTCTGGCTCTTTGCCGGTTTGATTTTCCTGTCTGGCTTGCACGGTTTGGGTCTTTGAAGGGTTTGGTCGCTGAAACCTCTGTCTCGGGCTTAGTGATTTCGGTACTAGAGCCCTGGGGCACCGTACCTCAGGCAAATACTTCTCGGAGGGCCGGCCCTTGTCTGACCACGACGTGCTCCTGGAGGACACCCTGCTGTCGTTTGGAGCATTTTGAGTTGTCGTGATTGCCAGGACTTGCGACGGACTAGCTCAGGACTACTGTCAGTGCTAGTACTAGTACTAGTACCCCAGTCGTAGTAGTAGTCGTCGTCGTAGTAGTAGCTGCAGGAACTACTATAGTACAGAGCTGGTACTAGTACTAGTACTTGTACTTGTACTTGTACTACAATTTCTACTACTATTGCTAGTAGTAGTACTAGTACTACTACTTCTACTACTACTACTAGTACTACTACTACTACTACTACTACTACTACTACTACTACTACTACTTACTACTACTACTAACTACTACTACTACTACTACTACTACTACTACTACTACTACTACTACTCGTTTTCTATAGTTGTATGAAGTTTCAACACGGGTGTAGTTGCGCTTCGTGGGCGCTGGGCTCA